TTCTTATAGCAACCTTACTACAGTAGCCTTGTAGCACCACAGGAATTAATTTCCTGTACACTTTTTTGCAACCCTAGACCAGGCGTGGGGATCGGATTCTCGCCGCTCTGCGTGGAAAGCTGCCGGCTGAAGCTGGTGCGCCCACGACAGCTTCGGTGTCGTGCTTCTCAAGTCATGTGTCTAACCATGGTCACGGCTCAAGCTGGTGATGACGTTAATGGTGATGATGATGATGATGATGATGGTGGTGCTGGTGATGACGTTGGTGATGGTGCTGGTTGTGATAGTGATACCAGCAGTAATGCCGATGATGACGGATTTGGCATGATTGCAAGCTGCCGATGATGCTGGGAATCTTTGTTTCGTACTTCACCGAGGCCAATAAACATGTCATAAAGCTTCCAAAACCCTAGACCCTGAACCCTGAACTCTAAAATCCTTTGACCCTATAAACCCCTAACTAAACCCCTTTAACCGCAAAGCATATGCCCACGTAGCCCAAAAGCATGAGGGGCTCAAACAGGTCGACTCCTCGACGAGCTGGATGCTGTGCTCTGCGCCGTTGTTTGCCAGGAGCTTTAGGGCTTAGGGCTTGGTGGGTTAGCGGTTCAGAGTGCGCGTTGGGAGGCTTAGTTCTACAACTAGAAACTGTGGTGTCCTTAAGAATTGTTTTTTGTTTTGTTCATATAAAACCCGACAGAATATTAAAACATACCATTTTCAAAATATGGTTCTAAGGGTGGTGTATGAAAAACCTTAAAATAAACCCTTCAGCCCCAAACCCTAAACTCCGAGCACGCGCAAGGTGAGTGCGACCTGCTCCGTTGGGCTGTGTAGTGACTGCTCAGCGGGACTCCGCAAAGGGCTGGAGGGTGATGGTCAACTCGCAGTTCGGCGGAAAGGTGGTGAGGTGGTCATTCGCGTGGAGCTTTCCTGAAAAGGTGTTCCCCTCCCTCAACCAACCTGGTTTTCTGACACGAACAGCTTAGGAAAAGAGGGCATAAAAAGTAGTAGTAGTAGTAGTAGTAGTAGTAGTAGTAGTAGTAGTAGTAGTAGTAGTAGTAGTAGTAGTAGTAGTAGTAGTAGTAGTAGCAGTCGTAGTCGTAGTAGTAGTAGTAGTAGTAGTAGTAGTAGGAGTACTAGCAGTACTAGTAGTACCAGTAGTACTAGTAGTACTAGTGGTACTAGTAGTACTAGTAGTACTAGTAGTACTAGTAGTACTAGTAGTACTAGTAGTACTAGTAGTACTAGTAGTACTAGTAGTACTAGTAGTCATAGTAAGTAGTAGAAGCACACGCAAGGATACAAGCAGCAGAAGGACAGTCTCGGGCTCAGCCTTGCCGTTCCTTGCAATCTTGGGGACCTTTCTTGGGGTCACATCCGTAGCTGCACAATGTAGCAACCTGATTAAGAAACTCTGGGCCTAAAACCCCAAGATAGCCGGATTCATATAAGGAACCCTATGAAAGGCCCAAGGTTTCTTAATCAGGTTCCTACATTACCCGGTTTAGGGCTCAGAGGGTAGAGTTGAGGGTCTTCCGCCTCCATGGCTAGATGTGTCTTCCTGGCATGCACCAACATTTGTATATACCCAGGACCATGACGACGGCAGTGCCCATCCCTCTTGTTTAGGGTTTAGGGTGTAGGGTTTATGTCCAATAGGGAGGCAGCTTCTCTTGAGAAACAACCGAGATTCAGTTGAATACTTCCTCGCTCATCGTCGTTCTGCAGTCTTTCACAGTTGCCAAGCCGTCCCAGCTTTGTCGGTGTAAACGAAGCAAACGTTGTACGATCGCAGGTCAGGGAAATTGTATTGCTGTGGTCGAACTTCGGGTTTAGAGGGTTTCGGGTTAGCTTTTGGAATGGTTGAGGGTTGAGCGGCTGTCTATTATTTGTACGCAAGCTGGCCGGTCGGGAGGATTGATTGTAACAGCGCATATGAATCTTTGCTGTGGCACTTCATGCCGAATGACTGCGCCGCGGAGTAGCATCAGCCAGCTCTGGTAATCGTCAGGGGTGGGATCTGTGTTTCACATATATTCGCTCCGTAATACTTCGAATACGGTTTTGGGATAGGTTACACTCTTTATGACAAGTATGAACGGCAACCCTTAGAATAGACAAGGAATACCCTTACGAATTACATCGACATTACTTACAGCATGATGGGACTTAGTAAGTAGGGTTACAAGTAAAGTAACTACAGTTATAATACTGATTACCCCAATTAAGGTACTCATTACCCTATACTTACTAAGTCCCATGATCCTCCAAGTAGGCCTACTTACGTTTAAAAATCGCCGGTGCTAAACCCTAAACCCTAAACCCTAACCCTAACCCTAAACCCTAAACCCTAAACCCTAAGCCCGGAGCTGAGGTTGGAGAGCTTCTTGAAGCCTTGCCTCTGCTGCCGTCCTGGTACTGACCTGAGCGGAGATCTTCACTCGCGTACTTGGAGGGTCGGGGGACTTAGTAACTATAAGGGGTTCCTTAAGGGCCCCTTTAAAGGGATCCATAGGGATTCTGTAAGGGTATAGGATTTAGGGTTTAGGGGGACTTAGTAATTGCTTATTTTAGGCACTTATAGGTACCATAACCCCAATGAGGGTCGCTTTCAGGGTACTTATAAGGCTACTTACTACCTACTTACTAAGTGCCCCGACCCTCCAAGTAAGGAGGGATTGTAGTTGAGGGTTTCCTAGGCAGTATTAGGGAGACCCCTCAAAGGGGACCCTCTTGACCCTACTTCTGGCTGTCTTAACAGGGACCTTATTGAGGGGGTCTATATCTCCAAGGGTCCCCCTAATCCTAACTTCTAGGGTTTAGGATGTTTACAGTAGTGTCGCTGCGGTCGTAATTACACGTAGCAAGGCCCTCCCAGAGATAATAATTGCTATGCGGGCTTGAATGTAGAATATGCATAGAATAAAGAGTTAAACTCATGGCCGTATGAAACCTAATGTAGCAAGCCCGATGTGCACCCTAATCCTTATAGACCTTTCAAAGCCCCGCACCAGGTCGACGGAATCGGGGCCGTCCGCAGCCCACGTGCAGGAGTATGCTTGAATCAGTCCGCGGTCAGATGCTGACCCCAGAGAGCCCAATACCCCTTAATTAAGCAATATACCTTAAATTATAAGGGGCTTCATGTTCTGATTTAAGCTATATTCCTTAATTAAGGGGTATTGGAGCCCCCTAAACCCTAAACCCTATAGATCCCTTAAAGATCCCTTAAAGGAACCCTAGGTATTCCTTAATTAAGGGGTATTGGGCTCCCTGGGAAGTTCTTTAAGTCGGGGCCAGGAGTCTGTAAGTTGAGTTCCAGAAAGAGAAATGGGAAATAGGGTTTAGGGTTTAGGGTTTAGGGTTCCTGGGAAATTCCGAAGATAGGGGACCCTAATATGGTACCCTAAGTCGTAGGATCCTTTTTATAAGGACCCCAAAGTAAGGTACCCCTAATTCCCGGAAACTCCCAACTAAAGGTAGCCAGGCATGTTGGACTTAGAGGTCAAGGGATTCGACATCGTTGAGGCTTTCAGCTTTCATGTGATACCCGCAGTCTGCAAGAAAGCCCAGTTAGGCACATGAGGCACAGGACGCGACTGCTGCAAGTTGAAGACTGTGTTCTGCAACTGTTGAGATAACAATCCTGATATCAAAGCCTGAACAATCGGAAATACTGTCCCCCGTTCCTAGAAGAAGATAGTACACAATATGCCGAGATTCGGTTCTAGTTGGCTCCCATCTTGGTCATTGAACCCTAAACACGCCCAAGAAGGAGCTCAAGCGGTACTGGGCCGAAGTACTGCCCGGGTCGGAGGAGCAGGTGCAGGGGCATTTCTGATAAGAGTGAGGTATCACGTACTTCGAAGGCTAACGTTACTCCTAAGCTTAGGGTTCCGGACTACGGCCTTGCTATAATTCTAGAGTATACCCACAAAACCCGTTACAATCAAAAGGCTCCCATATTATAGGGGTGGGAATACTTACATAATATGGGTTCAGGCGTGCTTGCAAGTCTGTACTTGACAGCATCTTTTCCATCTGAATAGATGCGTGCCTGCACTAGATGGCACATCCGAATTATCCCCGTCACTAGTGATGTCCTTGTTCCCGCGTCTGGTACCTTTCAAGCCATCCATGCTATGGTATAGCCCGTGCCAACGCCAACAGCAGAAATGACGGTAGGCACAACAGCAGCAAGACGCGTTTCAACGTTCATACAGAGCTTCGTTTGCATTGGGCCAAGCCTATGTTGACAGTGGACAGTAGCAGTCGGTGTTCGTTTGTTGCCAGCGCCATAATCTTTCACACAGGCTGTCCTACTCAGGTTTTCAGTTCGCCGAGGACCCGAAAGTCCTGTAAAAAAGCACCTAGACCCTCCATCTACCCTCTATTAGACCCTAAATGCCCCTTATTTGGGACCATATACCCCTATTTCAGGGTACAAGGAGGGTCCTGTGGGTTTAGAGTTTAGGGTTTAGGGGTTTAGGGTTTGGGGGTTTCGGGTTTAGGGGTTTAGGGTTTAGGGCTTAGCAAGTTGCTGGACCATGGAAGCCGCTGTTAGGAGCAGAAGCCCGACCCTTGCTGTCTCGTCGAGTGGATTTTCGATCTGCACTCTTGTTCCTTAACTACTATTTGCTTAAGAACACCCAAAAAATGGAAAATATATTCCTTATGGTGGTAATATAGGGATTATTGTTTTTATTTTTTGGGTGTTCCTTTGTATGGGAGTTTCCGAAAATTAGGGCTACCTTATTTTGGGGTCCTTATAATAAGGATCCTATTTAGGCTGCTAATATTTGGGTCCCCTATTTTCGGAAACTCCCATATAGGGGCCTTAGTAATCAGAATAGGGCTTTACTTTGGGGCCCATTATACTATAATTATATATCTAGGAACCCCCAAAATAGTTTCAGGCCCTGATATTGTCTGTTGCTTACGCAGACTCGCTACATTTTTAGATCAAGAGTACAAAGCTGTATCTGGGGGCAGATGCCATGGCATCTGCCTCACTGCCGCCAACGGCAGGGCCTTCTGCCAGCAATTCCTCGAACTTTCGAACGATGATGCCCGAGAGTATGCCTGCGCAAGGGCCTCCAAGCTCCTTGTTCCGCACCACCCTCCCCGACTCGATGCCCTCACCCGGGCAGGCGCAAGGCCGGAGCCCAAGCGGTGCAAGCTTTCCCTCTCAAGGTCCCAGCCCTTTTGCTTCCAATCCTTGTGCTTCCTTCCATTCCCGGGGCCCTCCCTCCCCAGGCCCTGGAGGGCCCAGCCCCATGCAATCGCAGGGCCCCTTCTCCAGCCTGCAAGCACCGCCCTTCCAGACCATGCCCCCACAGAACCCCATGGCCTCCATGGGACCCCCGGGTTCGATGGGACCCCCGGGCCCTGCGCCGGGATCTTTGGGGCCCATGGGTGTGAGCATTCCGGCGCCGGGGGCAGACAACGTGCTTCCCAAGGTTCCCTCACCGTTTTACTTCAGTCGGACTTTTGGGCTTTAGGCCAACTTTAAGGTTTAGGGCCAACGTTTAAGATTAGGATTCAGTATGACTTGGGCTTTATGGTGTAGGGTTTCCTAGGATTTTGAGCTAGAGTGTTTGGGTATGACAGTAGGGCCGAGGGTTGTGATGAAAGCTCACGGCTGAGTTTAGCCTTGTCCTTCCACGAACGTAGGGGTCGGAAGAGTTACCAAATTGTTCCTAAGCGTTTCTTACCGTAACTGCAGTAGTTAGTTTGCTCTTCACCGAAACCCCATTCTAACCATTAGGGCCCCGTCCATTACACCGATTACACCAATATTGTTCCTAAGGGTTCCGTACTCTAACTTTTAAGGCCCCGTCCTTTAGACACATGAGGAGTGCCTGGTGGTGGTCTCCAAGCTGCTCGATGTGCCGGTCGAGACTGGGATCTTTGGTGCGGGTGCGAAGACCTACTTCCTGCGAGTCCTGGATCATAAGAACCTGGGCTTTGGAGTACCGAACTCTTAATACTTTTTTTTTGGGGGGGGACCTGGTATTTAAAGGGGACCATTATGAAATAAAGAGGGGACCATTATGAAATAAAGTTTATGCAGATTTATACACGTTTTTCTCCCTGGTTACTGAAAAGCCCAGGAACACTGAGCTTGTCTCCAGCGATGACATACAAGGCATCTCGACATCCACCACCTCCAAGTAGATTAAAGTATCCTAAACCTCAGTACCGACCTCGGATTTCTACGAAAACCCCTTCGGGGTTTAGGGCTTCGAGGGTTCCGGGTTTGGGACTCCTAAACTTCACGGTTTGGTACGCAGATCTTGCTGATAATCTCGACTCGGCTCAATCAACCCCCCAGAAGTCAAGTTCCTAGTAGTATAGAGTATGTAACCTTCAACCTTTTCCCGTATAATCCCAAAAGTCTAAGCTTTACATCCCCTAGTCTACTGGACAACAAAGAATGGGCGGATCAGGACGGAGAGCTGGTCTTACTTACTGGCAACACGATGCCATCGTACGGCACCGAACGTAGAAGCCTAAATGATCCTAACTAAGTGGTTTGAAGCACGCATTCCTTAGGGTTCCTGTAACAAGACTTAACAAAATGTTGCTATCAACTATCATACACCCTGGAATCCTTCTCTATAATAAAAGCCCCTAAACTAAACCCTGAACCTAAACCTGCCCAAAACCCAGGGCTCTGAACCCTAATGTGCAATCGTCGACAGCATCTTCGCGGAACCAATGGCAGGTTTAAAACTTAGAATTTGAAATTCGGGGTTTGGGGTAATGGCGAGGTGTAAAGCATTTCGGGTATGCATCAGCCATTGCTGTATTGCGTGGAGCAGATACCCTTTAACAGCCGCAGAAGGTCCAGGATATCCAATCACTCTAGATATGAAAAAAAGTAGCCCCTGAGTCTTGAAGCCACCGGACAAGCTTTGAGGATTCACGGTTTAGGGTTTAGGGTTCAGGGTTTAGAGTTTAGGGTTTTTTGGGGTTTTGGTTTTTGGGTTTTAGGGTTTCAATTCCCTGAGCCCCGGAGCCCTTGGACCCGGATCCTGAGCAAATCACAAGCCAAGCCCCGGATCAAAGAAATAAATACTCCAAAAGCCCCCTCAGAAATCTGGGGGTTTAAGGTTTCGGGTTTAGGGATATATGCCTTAAACACTTAGGGTTCCTAATACAACTCGAGGTATATTTTGGGGTCTCTGGCTACAAAATCAGTCCCTGAGCCCTAGGCATGGACGACTTCCACTTGGGAAATGCGCCATCCCAGACGTTTGCCATACCTCCCGACCTGGGCTCAATGAGGCCGGATAGTCTTATGCAGGGGTAATTAAGAATTAGAATAGGGCTCCAAAAAGAAGGGTCTATAAGGGTTACAACAAGGGATCAATAAGGGTACCATAGCGGCCTTCATGGTTAGAACAAGGTTTTGGGGCGCAATATACCATAATTATGACGAGGAACCCCCCAAAAATAGTATAGGTAATTCATTCGGGCCCCTGCATTAGTGTGAATCAGAGTTTTGTGTCTCTGAGAGGGTTTAGGGGTGTAGGGTTTAGGGTTGTTCAGCTGCAGCTGCAAATTGTACATCGTTCAAAATTTCCTGTGCAGAGCAGATGGTTTCTTGAAATTAGGAGTCCCTCCGTATCTCTCACTTTGTCTTTCTCTCTGTGACTCCGTACTTTACGTGTGTGCAGTTGTTTTTGGTTGGTCTTCTATGTGGGAGTTTCCGAAAATAGGGGTACCTCATATTGGGGCTCCTTATCATAATAAGGATCCTACTATTATGGTATTATATGAGGGTCCCCCATTTTCGGAGACCCCCATGTCATTTCGCTGAGTTTGTACAGGGTTTGGTTTTCATTTGGAGCCTGGAGTCAGATGGCGCGTCGATTCTCATTAGCTTAGTGTTTAGGGTTTAGGGATTGGCATGGAAAATCTCCAGGCATCACACAGGCAGAGTATGAAACAGCACCATGAAGAGATGCATCTGCAGCTAGGGCGAAGACGACCTCGCGGACAATCCACGTGGAGGTCTCATTCTCCGGAGTCATGGGAGCCCCGGCATACTTTGCGGCCGGTCGTGGGGCAGTTCTGTAGGTGAAGTATCGAACCATGAGTAACCCTAACTCCTAAACCGTAAATGTCCCTAAATCCTAAACTTTACATCTGGGAGTGCTTGGAACTTGCGCATCTAAGATGGTGCCTGGAATTCCGTATTCGTGAACCCTACAACCAAATCGCTACACAGAGATTTCTCTGAAGAGGGGTCGAAAGAGGGCTATCATAAGGGGTTCCATTGAACCAATGGCTCGTCTACTTCAAGCTTAATAGAGAAGCCGAAAGACCGCTACCAGCATTATTGCTTAGGCGTCCTGCTTGCTGCTATTATACTACAATAACACCTCGAAAGGCCAAGTCGAATCATTAAGGCCCTTATATCACAGTGCTTGTTTCACGCTTGCACCCGCAAGGGTTCGAATTCAATGTATATGTCCGTGCTTCCCTGGTGTTGCCAGGATTACACTAAGGGCCATGTACCTAAATACTTTAGGTCCAATGTACCTATATCAGGAATACTTTAAAGCCCAAGTATATAACTACTATTTGGCTACATGGACCTTCGGTGACCTCCAGGGTTATTGAGGCCCTTAGATAAGGTGACTTGGGTTGCTCCGTTTAGGGTTTCTGAGATGAAGCAACGATAAGATGGCCCGGTCCATGGTTTGCCTGGACCCTAACGACCCTCCTAGGGCTCCATCTTATGATTTCTTTGTGTAAATCCTTGAAAAGTAGGTCATTTGGGGTTAAGGTGGGGCTTAGAGTAAAGGTTTGGGGTTTAGGTTTTAGAGTTAAAGGTTTAGGTTTTAGGCCAGTCGCCTCGCACAGAGTGCACATTCTAAAATCTCAAGATGCTCCGTAGCAGTCTAATGTAGAACCTAAACCAGTAGAAGCATGGTACACCCGAAACCCCATTCCAATTATGAAGGCTCCAATGGTACCAGAAGCGGGTGTAGGATCAAATACCATCCTTGCTTCATCCGCTGAGGAGGAAGCATTATTGGGGCATGCCAGATCAATCGAATGGACCCACGCTCGAAGCAGGTGCGGCGTTGCTTTAGGAGTTAGCAGTTTTGGAAGGGCGAGACCTAGGATCCTTGACATCGATGTCCATGGCACGCTAATTAAGGGTGCGCCCGTCCTCTCAGATCTTTGCGACTCTTGTCTCCGGAGTGCCTACTTGGCTTCCTTTCAATTTCTACAGTCCGCACCCGCGAATTCGTGTGTAGACCATATGATCAAGGGATAGGGTCTAGTTGCAAGATCGGATACATGAGACTCATGAGACTTCGTCGTCAAAGCAGAAGCCGTACAAATTGTCTAGATTTCTGGGGTCTGGCGTGTGTGGACACTATATTTTGGATGTTTAGTCTTTGTCTGCCCTGCCCAGGCTTGGCCCTACGAGATATGTAGGGATGGCGCGGTGGTTTGCGGAATCGAGCTACGCATCGTTGAGGACGCCGTGCAGAACTGCGAGGTGTTGGCAGAGCTCCGCACGCTCTGGCTCCTCTCGCATCGAACCCTAAACCCTAATAGAGCGCAAGAGACATGATTGGAGTAGGGTTTGGGGCTGGAGATGAGTGTGTGTATTCATAAACAACAGAATACGCACATGTATATATATATATATATATATATATATATATATATACACATATGTATATGTATATGCTTGTACATATACACGTACATAGATACGTGCATACATATCATGTATGTACGTATGTACGTATGTATGTATGTATGTATGTTTATGTACAGACAGACACAGACATAAACATGCGCATACGTGCAAATGTATCTGTATATATACATATAATGCATGGTCTCAGCATACAGTCGCTACAGGGGACTATTATTACCGAGCCATATGCTACACTATGCTACACTCTAAGTCTGAAACGCCAGAAAGCCAAAGCCTTGAAACTGGAAGAGCCCGAAACTCTATATCCCTAAACCCGTGAATCCGCTAAGTCCTACAAACCATATTGAAACCTCTAGACCGTAGCTACGCCTTCTAAACACTGAACCACTCAAAAGAAAAGCCCTTGCGAGGATCCCGACATGAGTCAGCTGCCAACCCCTGGCGCGGCCAACGCTTCTGCCAAGGCGTGCGTGGGGCTGCGGAGTCGATGACATGGGAGTTTCAGAAAATTAGGGGTACCTTGTTTTGGGGGTCCTTATAGTTAGGATCCTACTATTTAGGGTCCTATATTAAGCTCCCCTATTGTCGGAAACTCCCAAATGTCTGGGGTTTTCGAGTTGTAGAGCTTAGGATCTGGAGTTCAGGACGTTTGGGTTTTGGGTTTGGGTGTGTCAGGTGGGCCTCAGGGTTTGTAGGGCTGGGCTCGTGTAGGTTTCGGGGTTTATGGCACAGAGTTTGTACGCTTTAGCTTTTGCAGGGTGCGATGGTTGGGAGTTTGGGTTTAGGGCTTTAATTAGGGTTGGGGGCTTGTACGGTTTAGGTACGGGTTCATGGGGTTGACAGCATCAAACTTATGCGTTGGGGCTGCATTCCGTGCGATGTTGTGATACGACTTAGTCTAGGATGCCCAGTAGTATCCTTATTCCTTTTTTGTAGTCCTAGGTTCCTTATAAAGTTACCCAATACCAAAAAGAGAGGCCTTTTTATTCTTAGGTCACTGGGTATCCTAGACTTAGGGATCCTGCCTTGCTGATTCGTTCACGATGTCAACCTTATCTGGATCTCAGCATATGCGAGTCAATAAACCGATAGCCCCTTTCCACCCGCCATAGTCCCTGGAATTCTAAACCCCCAGCCCCCAACCTTTTAAACCTAAGCCCTGAAATAAGCCTAGAGCCCTAAACCCTAAAACCCCCAAAGCCCCCGACCCGAAACTCTAAATCCCTGAAGCCCTAAACCAAACCCTTAAGCCTTTAGCCCTAAAGCCCAAAGCCCTCAACCCTAAAACCCTAAAGCCCCAGTACTCTGGATCCCTGAAAACCCGGTAAGCCTTCAAAGCCACTTGCGTAGCGGGCCGTCGCAAGAGGGTTTTGGAGGTTTTACGGTTTAGGGTTTAGGAGTTTAGGGTTAGGCCTTAGGGTTTAGGGTTCAAAAATTAGTACGACACGACTGTTCCACCAGGGTCCTTGTTATAGACATGATTGCAAGAGTATACCACCCCCAAAAACTGCATTCCCATCAGCAAGCCCTTATCCAACGGCCCGGCCCTACAAGAACTCCCTTAAATCAAAAAAGCCCTTCAGACTTGAACACGTAAGCCCCTAAACCCTAAACTCTAAACCCTAAACTCTAAACCCTAAACCCTAAACCCTAAACTCTAAACCCTAAACCCTAAACCCTAAACCCTAAACCCTAAACTCTAAACCCTAAACCCTAAACCCTCCTTGCACCCTTAAACCCTCAACCCAAAGGTCCCCCCTACCACCCTGGAGGCCACAGGCTCCATCATGGATTCCATGGGTCTGGGCAGGATGCCTCTCGGCTCTTCCGCAGACAGGTGAGGCTTCAGGGTTTAAGGGTAATGGCCCTTGAATAGAGCCCTTATGGTCCGTAATAGTGGGTCTTTGGGGTACATTAGAGGGTAGTTGGGGGGTTTAAGGGCTTAAGGGTTTAAGGATGGGGTTTCGGTTTTCGACCCTTTGTTTTGGAAGGAAAGGATGGTCGAGGTCCCGGAACCCGACGAAATTTGCAAACTGCTTCTAGGGTCCTAGGACATGGGGTGATCCATCCCAAACCCAGACCGCCTTGAGGATTAAGAAAGTAGATCCCCTAATTTGGGGTCCTATACTACTAAGGGTACTTTATAGGAACCCCCATTAAGGGATCTACTTTTTGGATCCTCCCGGGGGTCTGGGAAACCGGGGGCGCGTGGACCTTGCTGCACCTGAGGGTTGGATCGCAATACCTGACCGACAACGAGCTCCTTGGATGAAGACGACAGGTTCCGAACTCATCAATCTTTTCGGGTTGAGGGTTCATGGACCTGGACATAGAGTCAAGGGGAAGCAAGTAGGAAGTCTTTGGTTAAGTTACGTAAGTAAGTAAAGAAGTAGGTACATACGTGTGGACCTGTGGGCCCTGAACCCTACCTTAACTTAACCCTGAATAACCTACCTTTTTAGGGTTCCTTATTATGATTTCTTTGTAGAAGTCCTTAAAAATGTAGGTTCTTCTGGGTTAAGGTAAGCCCTGGTATGATCAGGGCTTCCGAAAGCGACGCGGTGTTACGCAGAGCTAAGATAAACTGACCACAGCCCTGGGATATGGGTTTAGGGCCGGTTTAGGGTTTAGGGCCTTGCTTTGACTTCAGGGTTCAAACTCGAGCGCCTAGGGATTCAACTTTAGAGTTTAGGCTGTAGGTGCAAAAGCTCCAAGCCACATCTGATGCTGGATCTGCCTAGGATGCCCAGTAGTACCCTTTATTCCCTTTTTGTAGTCCTAGGTTTATAAAGTTACCCAATACCAAAAAGAGAGGCCTTTTTATTCTTAGGTTACTGGGTATCCTAGCTGCGGATTCTCCTGAAGGCTGTCACAGCCGGGCGTTTGTTGAGTTATGCACTTCGGAACGCGAAACCGTAAATGCCTTGACGGAAGTTGCAAGCTTTACCCTTCAACCTGCAATCTAACGAACCTTTCCTCATTTTGGCCTGCAAGCTTCTTGTGAAAAGAGGCAGCTGTTGTCGGGCTCGAGTGAAGGTTCAGGGTTTAGGGTTTGGCGTTTCTTTTGAAGCAAGGGTGATCGAGTTGCAACCTCTAGTGAAACCTTCCTGCCTTTCACACTCCAAACCCTGAAAAGTAATCTGAACCCGAAAGCCTAAATTGCTGAGCTCCATCATCCCGAAACCCTACACCCTAAACCCCTAAACCCTTCAAATCCTAAACCCCCTCAGCCCTAAACCTGCAACCCTCAAGCCCTGGACCCTTTTCAGCCCAGGCTGGATGATGTGCACCACGGTGTGAGCAGCATGCTCGAGCTTCATGGAGCCAAGGACTCCGACGCAACACATCTTTTTAGGGGTACTTAGAAATAATTTAAAGTTTTTGGTTATTATAATCCCTAAGAAGCAGCTCAAATCATTGTATTTTTTGCTAGGGTTCTAAGTTCAGTATAGGATCTTAGCCACTCACCAAGGGTCTTGAGTGGGTTGAGGGTTTGGGGTCCTGCTCCTCACCTCTACGTGCGATGTGTGAGACCGCACTCTGCGCATTTGGGGTGCTGGTTCTGCTTCTCGAGACCGGCCAGAATGAGTTTCGGTTGTTCGCTCAGGGAAGAGTTCGTGATGCCGTCAGGCACTGCACCTCGACCTTTGCCGTCTGTATCATCAGCTTGTTTTTGGTTGGTATAACTCTTGACCCAAGCATCATCCTCATCGCCTTCTCAATCAGCATCGCCGTACGTATCGGTTTGTCTTTGCCAACGCCCGAGGTTTTCGACATGCTGGCGATACTGATGATGTCTGCGATATGTTTCTTCGTCCGATGCTGATCATGATCAGGATGCTTGGCCGGATGACCGAGGCCATACTATTGATGCCGACGATCATGATGATGCTGTTGAAGCAGAAGAACGACATGACAAGGATGATGATGATGATGACAATGTTGATGATGATGACAATGTTGATGATGCTGATGATGGCAAGGCTACCGAAGTAATGCGACTATGACGGTGACTGTACTGGTGCTGATGGCTGCCTCCAATCCTCGCATGTACCGAAAGTGCTTTTCAGGACCTGCCGGCTCCACGCACGCGCGGCATGAAGGATGTGGTGGTCACCGCCACCTGCCTGTTTCTTTCTTTGAAGTTTGCCGGAGGTTTTTCTCTACATTCGCATGGCAATACCCGGTTTTCGAATTGAAAATGAGAAACGCAGGCTGTTGCTTAGTTGAACTGGGCCCTCTGATGCCAAAGTAGATACTTTGACAAAGACGTTGTGGCCCATGAGTGTGGGGGTGCGAATGCTAGGGGTTTAGAAGGGGTTTAAGTTTAGACGATCATTGGATCTAGGATTCAGAGCTATAGGGTTCTAGACCATTAATGCAGGGTCTAACCCTAAACCCTAAACTAGGGTTCGGGGCTTCGGTGGATATGTCGGGTCGGATCAAGGTCATGACCGACTCCGGGCGTGAGTTGCGGAAGCTCGGGCTCTTTGAGCGACTTGGCTCATACGCTCATACCTATAGCCCCCATCGTGGCTCCTTCTTTTGGTTTAACTAGTTATATATGTATATAGATATGTTGTGTATTTATACTTCTACTGTTGATAGAACTAGATGAATCAACAAGTATGCATACATGTATGGATATACGTGTGTATATATATATATGTATGTATGTGTATATGTGTATGTATGTGTACATGTATGTGTAGATGTATATGTGTATATGTAAAAGTATGTATACATACATATGCAATTATATATGCATGACCCTACATGTTAACCCCAAAGGGAAATATACGATGCAGACTGTAGGTTGGCTCTGAGGTTCCGGTCAAAGGTTCCCTTAAGGCCTCCTTGAAAGGATCCTGTTTTTGGGGCTTCTGTAAGGGATCCTTCAAGGGATGCTTTAAGGGCTCATTTGAAGGATCCTTTTTTCGGGGCTTCTGTATATTTTAGGGCTTGAGGCTTCGCATGCTTGGCTTTGGAGTTTAAGACTGAGGGGCTTTCGGTGGGAGGGTTTTGCGGTGGAGGGTTTGGGCTTCGGTTCGGAAATTTGGGTGCTGTCGTTTTTTGGTGGTTTCGTACGAAAAACCTGCGTCATGCAGGCCTTGTAGTGGAAGAGGGTCTTAACATTCGGTTCTCTACTATGACTCTTCTTAGTAGTGGTGGGGCTTGTCATCCAAAGGGCTGCGCTCTCTTTGGCATCGGTCTTGAACAGCGGCGAACAACCTAAAGTTTCCGAGTTGGCTTTAACCCATCAGACGAGATTTGCGGGGTCCCTACAAGAGCTTCAAGGAAGGTTCCATACAAGGTTTTGAGGGTTAGGGCCTAAACCCGAAACGCGCTAAACCCCTAAACCCTATATAAACGCCCAAACTACTTATCTGAGGTCGCAGGAGCAGATCGGTCGTCAGCTTACCTCTGTGGACTTCCAGCACACGCGCACCTTCGTCCAGGCAAGGGGGTGGGCTTGTTAGTTGAGTGCCTACTAATGTAGAATCCTAAGTAGTCACTACTGTAATTAGTAGAGTTCCTTCTGTAACTTTCGTAGCATGTTGCCCCGAAACCTCATAATTATAGTATGATGTACCCCCCAAACCTTACCACCGTCTAACTATAGCATATCGCACCCACCCGAGAAGCTTTCAGTCCCCTACATTCGGGTTCACCTCGCAACCCCCCCCCCCCCCCCCCCACACCCAGAGCTGGCCTCAAACGCATGAAGCCTGGTAAGCCCCAAACCCTAGGACTCCAAATGCGTAGTTGTCAAAATTATGGTCCCTTTGTGGGTTTCTATTATAATACGGCACCTATAATGTAGGGTACCCGAATAGCCCAACGTATGTACGATTTATAGACTTTAGACTCCAACGTAGGTACTTTTTGTATACCTGGAGTCGTAGGGAAACCCGAAAATCCTCAACCCCAAGCCGATACGCCACTGAAAGTGGAGTCAACCCGGAACCCCAACACCGATAGCCTCTGCGAGTGGTTAGCTAAGAATAGTATCCCCCTATAGTTCCCAGCACTTGCTGTTGTAGATATAGCTGTAGCTTCAGCTATAGTTACAGTATAGCACGGCATAGCATCGTACAGTAGAACAGAGTCGTATAGCATGGCATGATACAATATAGTACGGGACAGGATAGCATAGTACTCGTCTAGTATAATATAGTAAAATAGTGTATGTTATAGTCTAGCATAGTATATAATAGTATGGTATAGCCCTGCCCCCTTCTAACCCTAAACCCTAAACCCCTAACCCCTAAACCCCTAAACCCCTAACTCCTAGACTAAACCCCCAAAACCCATGAAACCCCAACCCGCCCTGTACCTTGCGGCCTTGACAGGCTCCGCTTCGCTTCGGAGGCGATGCCCAAGAAGGATCCTCGGACTCGCGGGTTCCGCTTTAGGGGTTTAGGGGTTTAGTGTCTTCGGGTCCTATAAGGCCTAAGGGTTTAGGGTTTTAGGGGTTTAGGGTTTGTTCAGGGTTTGTGGGTTCATAGCTTCGTTCATCTGCCTTCTGCAAGGCTTTAATAGGGTTTTGACAGCCCTACTAGGGTTTTAACACGGCAATACAGAGATGTTCTATGGGTTGCGTTAGACTCCCGTGTGATGGACTTTTTCATCTGACTTATCTAGAAGATCCGCTTTGGCAGAAGGCATCACAATGCTGGTGGTAAGAGCCTGGAGCGGAAGCCTTTGGCCTTGGTCATGATAGTTTCAGGAATGTAGTGTAGTAGAAGTAACTTGGCAGGTGTGTTAGGTAGCGCGACAGCTCTTATGGTTGTGCTACCCGGTGCCTTACCCCTCTGCCTTTGCGCAGAGCTACACTGCGCTCTGCCTCCCAAAACATACATGGCGATTGATGGCAACTGATATTGCTTGCACTGCAAGTGCTTCAACTTAGCTGGCAATTCCGTTGGAAGTGAGTTTGACCTAGCACAAAATCCACAATGGAGTGTCCTTTGGCAAGTGCTGTCATGAACAAAAGCCGGCCACCTCATTCCACCGGACGATGCTGCATCATTGTTTCCCAAAGGGTCCTATGTACTGTTACGGGGAATACTTCCCTAAGTCATAATAGTATTTCCAAATATGGAAACCCTACATTCTACTATATCGGTACATAGGCCCCTTTGGGTTTGTGTCTTTCTTCAGGGCGAGGACTGGCTCACGATATGTTTCTCATGTTGCTCACACCAAAGGGGAAAAGGAGGGACCCTTAATAAGGACCCCGAGGTATATACCCTTAAGATAGCTTGCGAACGGACTGCGATGCCTTGTCAAGTTCTAAGGTGTCACTATAAGAGCTGTGAGCAAGACCGTGTAAAGTACAAGAGAAGGGGGCACGCTACGCGTCCCTCGACTCTAAGGGGGCACGCTACGCGTCCCTCATCTTTACCTTTCTATGTGACCGCCCACGCAACGTTTGGCTCAAGTCAATGCCCATAGCTAAGTGCTATAAGTGTCTTCTATCCTGAGCAATCAGAGCTATCCCGTTGCACAGACGAACCGCCGCCGGCAGTGAGTGCAAAAGGAACGGCCGCCGGTTCTGCCTGCATAGGATTGCACGTGTGGAAGTGTAAGAGAGACAGGGTCCAGTCTGTGGAGAGTGCAAGCCAGCCACACCTACATTCATTACAGCTCTGGTGGGGAGAGCAGCAACCTAGTCGAGATCAATTCCCCACGCAGGTTATCAGCCGTACGCGGCTCTGCCTTTCTACAGCAACGACTACTTGATCTACTACGACCACAATGAACTCGGGATCAAGCCAAGATACGACAATGACTTTCGGTGCCGATGTGGCAGCGCCAGCCGTTGGTGAGTCAACAGCTGATGACACAGTGGTGCAATCCGTTGATAGCTCCACGGAAGATGACAAAGGTCAATCTTCTGCGCTTGCCATTGCAAAGGCAGTTCCCAAGGTGAAAGCAAAGAGTCTACCAAGAGCATCTACGCCTTCGCGTCCGACATCCACAGGTTCGAGGACGGGCAAGGCTCCCGAACGACGAGCCGAAGCGTCTGGTTTTCAGGCACCTCGGACTACGTCCAGGGCCAAGGACAAAGGAGTGAAGACCTTGGAAAAGAAGTCGAGACCATCATCTTCGAGAAGCTCTTCAGCACGATCGAGGACTTCGGCTACTCGTGGGCGTGACAAATCCATGACTTGGAATCGGATGGTTACCAATCAACCACGTGATGCTGACGATCTGGATATGACTCTGGACACTATCCCAGCACGTGGTGATGCGTCATCGGTGACCACGCCAGCCATAGCCGATGGTCCGAATGCCTATCAGGAACTGACGATTTCGCAACAGCTCGAAGCATCTAACCTTGCGCAGCAGATGTACTATCGCAGTCAGATGCAAGAGTACGAAGGAGTTGTTCAGACCCTGATGGACAAGATCAAGGAGATGCAACAAGAAGATGAAGGATCTGGAATTCGCATTGAAGAATTGGAACGACAACGTGACCATGCATGCTTAGCCATGAGGCACATCAACAATGTCAATCAGGAGATGAAGCGAGACTATGAAACAGCTTTGTTTCGCATGGATGAACAGAACTCTGCTCAACAACGTCAAGCACATGCCGTTGCCGAGGAGTTAGCTCAACAGCTACACGTGTTCCGCACGGAGGCAGCCACTAACTTTGTGCAGTTGGAGGCAAGAGCGCAAGGCGATGGTGAGCTTATGGCACGTGAGTATGAGCGTCTGACTCATGAACTTCATGAACATGCCAGAGAGAACTTGGTCCTCCGGTCAAACACAGCAAGTTCGGAACAAGCCTTACAAGCAATGCAGGAACGATTCCACTTGGTCAAGAACCAGGAGTTGCGGGCCGTGAACGAGATCCAAGGGCTAGCTGGAAACAGCGCAGCCATTGATCAAGAACGATTTCGGCTTCGCGAACGTCTTGGCGAAGAAGAAGAGTACCGCAAAATGGCTGTGAAGAGGATGCAAGAAGCAGAGGACCGTCTTCATCAGAATGAAGATCATGCAAGGCGATCATTGCCTACCTTGCACGACGAGCTGAGTGAACTCAGGAAAACGCTCAAAGCACAAGAAGATCTTCAAGCGAGGACACGCAGCGAATTGGAGGCAGCGCGGAACTCCAACTATGGAGGAGCGACACGGCCTTCAAGCATGCCCATGTCTTCGAGGACTACTGAGTCTGGCTGGGAGCACGTAGGAAAGGAAGTAGTGCCTGCATTTTCCGTAGGAGGTGAGGTACGATCCCCTGAAATACGGTCCCCAAGTCAAGTTAGTCCAGTCGCCAAAGAGAAGTTCGCATTCTCGGAATCGGACAAGGACAAGAACCTTGTGATGGATGGAATTCCATTCACCGGTGGAAACTTCTTCACTGGCCGCAATTCAATGCCAATCGTGGCGGATGCAATGCCCGAGCACTACGTGCCAGGTATTAGCAGCCCAGCACTTGCGCGTTCCACGCCTAGTGCAGCCACTTTGTTCGGCATACCAAGCGGATTTCATGGGAAAAGTGATGCGGCAGCCGTGCGTGACCGACAGCTACGCGAACTCTTGGAGGATCGCGGGATGTTGGGATCGAAGTCCACAGCATCTGCCAGCTCCTCAAGACCTGTTGGTGTCGACGGTATCACCGCATCTACGAAGGGCAACGACCTCATCGGTCCCCCTATTGCCTATGACGATTCCATTCATGAAGCAAGGAGACGTCAGATCGAGAAAGAGGTCGCGGAACGGTACGAGGAGAAGATTGCCGATCTGCGAAGCGAAGTACTCAAGGCCCAGAAAGCCGAACAACGTCTCAGAGCTGATCGTGATGAGTGGAGATTATTCGCTGAAACGATTCAGGAGGATAATGGAGACGATGACGGTGACGAAGCTGGCGACGAGAATGAAGATGGAGAGCATGATGAAGGAACCGGCACGGGGTATGACCCTCCTGACCCGCCTGATGATGATGATGATAAGAAGAAAAGCGGTGGAGGCAAACCTGAATCGGATCCTGGATCTCATGCGCGTGATCCTGATGGAGACGCAGATCCTGAAGTCACGGAAGTGAGAATTTCCAGGAGGGAGGCCGACAAAGTGACCGTACCTCCATGGCCTACTCTCACTCACCTCAACAACTGGCGATCCGTATGCACGGCGAATGTCTTAGGAGCATCAGCCGATCCAAATCATGAGGATTGGATGTTATGGCTGGCACCAGCATTCAACCCATTCCCTGATGTCGAAGCACTGAACGATTCAGGACACAAGAAGTTTAAGAGCGTAGACGTCAAATTGGGGATCGCAATGGTCGCAATGCTACGTGCTGGTGGTGACAAATCTGCTGACCTGTACCTGGAGGTGAACCGGAAGGCCAACGATTACATCAGCAGGCCCGAAGGGAAGATCATCAAAGGACGACAAATCATTGCGATGATGTATGAAAGCTTTCGAACGCATGATCGTCTCGACATGATCATCACTCTCGAATATCTGGTGAAGCTCCAGTACCAAGGCGACAACAAGCTTCATACGTTCAAGCAGACGTGGTTGGAAGTTCTGGGACGGATGAGGCCAGAAGACATACCATCCAAAACAGCTCTCCGTGATTGCTTGTACAGCAAGATCAAGGACTCGCCCGCAATGAAGATGGAGTTGGGCATGCACTACGAACACTTGCCCTACAATCATGAAGACCGATCGTACGACAATCTGATGAAGATCATTGACCGTACCATCATGCGGAGACGAGAACAATCAAATCTCACTCAGACCCAAATTGGCTTGCGCCAGATGCTTGAGGGCAAGGATTTGCTTGCTGCACCGGCCAAGGTACCTGAGAAACCAACGCCTAACGCAGCTCCATCCGCAAAGGTCAAGGCTTCGCCGACCAAGCCGGATAAAGCAACACCTGTACTACCTCAAAGCAAAGCGAAGAGTCATGCGAAGACCAAGCCAAAACCCAAGAAGAAAACGAGGAGTGAGTCAGCGGACAACAGAGGCGATAAGAGCAAGAAGCAAATCCGCTGCAAGTTCCATTTCACAGATGCAGGGTGTCGAAATGGTGACAAGTGCCCATTCAGTCACTCGAAGAAGACTCCAGAGCGACCCTTTACGCCGAGGACGAGAACTCCAAGTCCATCTGGAGGAGGAGGAAACAGGATATGCTACTCGTTCAAGAACACAGGCTCGTGCTCAAGAGAGAATTGTCCTTTCAAGCATGAGGCAGCAGCTACCCCAGCTCCGGAACCAAAGGCAAAAGCTAAAGCCAAATCCGAAGCAAAGGCAGCTCCAGCGAAGCCGAATGCCAAGGCCAAGGCGCTCCCTGCGGCACCCGCCATCAGATTGTGCCGAAGGTGGAATCCATCAGCCCCGGCGATATGGAAGCGATCTTCAAGACAAGATGAGGAGGAGTCAGATTGCCCATCCGTTGACAGCGACGCTGATTCGGATTGTTCAACAGACGACGAATCCTCGGGACCGACTACGTCGACCCGAAAAGGGATCAAGCGTAATGTGACATTCGCCGATGACGTGAAGTTCATTTCTTCGTGTCCTAGAAGATCGAAGAAGGACAAAGAGCGGAAGGTGAAGTACGTCGACATGGAAGCGCTTGTCAACGATGAGGATCGCGCCGTGAATTTGGAATTCGCCAAGCACAAAGCGAGATTGAGGGCACAGATTATGAGAGACATGGTTGACGACGATGATGATCAATGTGGAGATCGAGTTTCATTCGTGCGAATCCCAGG